TTCCCCAGCCAGCCTTGCTGGCTGGGGGATTCTGGGAGTTGAAGTCCACACATCTTAAAGTGGCCAAGGTTGAAATACACTGCTCTCCAGCTACCCTGTGTGCTGCTCCATTACAGGAATCCCTTTCCCAAATCCTGTTTCCCTCCCCAAAACACCGCAGGAAAGAAGGAAAGAGCCCACAAAAAGGGCCACAAGGGAAAAGCAGCATACCTGTATGCGAGTAATGGCTTTGCAGTTGATTGTAGTGAATTCATTTTCATATACAGAACTTCTTCGCTGATTACTCCCCTGGGGAAAAGAACATCTTCCCCTATTATCCGTTTACGTGCTGCAGCACATTCTAAAAAGTTGAGGGGAGGGAACTGGGATCCTTACTTCCCGGGAACGGTCACTGAATAGCTGACAGGATGGGGCACAGCGGATTATGAAGCATTTAGAACAGGGGTTCCCAAACTCTCAGCTCATCAACCCCTTTGTGAAGTTTCAGATAGTTCACCAACCCCTGAACATTGATTATATGAAAATAATTTAATAAATACTACTAGTACTACGAAGGAGGAGGAGGAGGAGATCACAAAATACAAAGACCCGCAAATAGAAATAGGATGACTGTGGCAGAAGAAAGCAAAGATTGTACCAATAGTAATAGACACCTTGGATGCAATCCCAAAACCTCTGGAGTACCCCTTGAAGACCATCGGCATTGACAAAATCACCATCAGTCAATCGCAAAAGGCAGCTTTACTTGGAACAGCTTCCATCCTGCGATGATACCTTTAAGACTATCAAACAACAACATCTGCCTATCCCAGGTCCTTGGGAAGGACTTAATAGATGGATAAAAAGGCCAAATCCAGTCTAAACATCTGGCTGACTGTGCGGCCAACCATAATAGAGACAACTCAAGGCCGCTGTTGCTGGCAGCTGACCATCCAACCCCGGGTAACCCTGCCTTGCTGCTCAGCTTTAGGACTAGGGATGGGTGTGGAGCTCCACACAGACTCCAAAAGGTTAATTGACCCCAATCGACCTTCCATCATTTATCAACCACCTACTGACCTCCAGACATTTACTGACCCCTTTTTGACCCCCAGCCATTTATCACCCCCTTGGATATGGGCCACTTTGGGGAACCCTGATTTAGAATATTGCTGAACTCAGAATTCATCACTGAAAATAAAAACAAGGTTATTTCAAGGGTCAAGATGTATACAGTGTTCCTATATTGGAGCTGTCCAAAGCCAACAGTTGGAGTGCAAAGTGAGGGTTTCATGCTACCAATAATTAAATACTTATAACTCTATTTTTTTCTTTTATGTTTACCAGGTCTAGATCTCATTCCAGAAGCAAGAGTGGCAGTTGAAGCAAAAGTCACAGGAGAGACCAAAAGGAAGGAGTCCAAGTAAGTCTCTCTCAGCCCAACCACAGGATTGTTGTTGTGGAGAAAATAGGAGGCAGGGGTATTCAGTGTATTCACCACCTTGAGGTGACCAAATATATTTTAAAAAAAAGGCAGGATAAAAAACAAATCTAATGTAATAATAATAAAGATGATAAAAGCAGGAATCACAGCAGGTGTAGAGAAATCCTGAAGCATAAAGTGGGAAAATATACTGAACATACATCCCAAAGGTCCATTTCCATCTGGATCCATCTGGAATTCACAAGCAGAGTCCATGGAGAGGACAGCAGTAAAATTGGAAGTCGCGGTCATGTGATGTAATGGTATGTGGGAATGACCTTGGGAGTTGGGGGAAGAGCCACAGCCAGGGGAACTTTCAGACTTGCAGATTGATGTCAGCCTTGTGAGGTGTCCAGACAGGAACCATGACCAGATGGATTAATTCTGCTTTATTGTAAGGTTACATTAACAGAATCTTGCAAGTCTGAAAGTAGGTTTCTCCCCCGTTGTATTTACAGCCCAAGAAACTAAGGAGGGCCCCTTCTGAGATGTTTGCCAGGCCCACATTCCTTCTGCGGGCTCAGCTGCCTCTCGTCTAACCATTCCCCCGGCTGTGGCTCTTCCCCGTCTCCCAAGGTCAATTCCTACATCCCACATTCCCACATTCCTATGTGATGTCTCACTTAACTACCACAGTGATTCACTTAACAACCAAAGCAGAAGTAAGGTCATAAGTCCACTGCAGTCACATGATGTTTCACTTAGCAAGCACGGTGCTTAGCAGTGGAGTTGCTGGTCCCAATTGTGGTCACTAAAGGAGGACTACCTGACTTGAATCTGGATCTCCTCAGTCCTACTCCAGAATTATATCCAATATAACCCACTAGCTTTCCTTACAAACCACCATGGGATCTCTCCATGGAAAAGCGACAAACTCTGGTTTATGCTTCAACTAGAGCCTCTTATTCCCAGAGAAGTGTGGAGCAGATATCAAGATGAAAGTAGGTGGCCAAATGTCTGCCCAACGACGTGACATGGACTGCCATTTCGTGCACTGCACTACCAAGATATTTCATTATTGCATTTGTCCCCCATGATTTCTCTTGAGAACTCATGATGGAGGCATCTCCTCTTTATTTTCCCCATAACAACAACCCTGTGAGTTAGTTTAGGCTGAAAGAGAGTTACTGGCCCCATATCCCTTAGTGAGCTCTATGGACAAGTGGGGAACATGAATCTGAGTGTCATCCTAATTGAATATCTTAATCCCCATGCTATGCTACATACTGTACAGTCGGCCCGCTGTAGTTTCTGGTATAAATAAAACAGGGGCCCACCAAGGTTTCCAAGCTGAAAATTGAATTTAACTTTTGAGAAGCATTCTGGGGGCCATACTCCAAAAAGGAGTAGATGAAACCAGGACAACAACCTAAATATGATTTCCTTTACATGCACAGTCTTTAATTAGCGTGAAGATTACATCATAATTTCCCCTTTCCATAATTGTAACATAATTAATTATATAATTAATATGATTTGGTCATGATTTTCAGACGGTCTTTGAAGCCATCCAAAAGATTTTTTTTTTTTTCAGGGGAAAACGGACTGTGCACTTCTGATACAGGCGGACTCTTATCCAGTGAATCAAACATGTTTGGCAGTATAGGACAAGCTACTGTAGAGTCAAGAAACAAAGCATGCAATAGAGGTTAATATTTAGCAATACAGCACATGCTTAGCACATATGATAGTACATTCATGTCTTATGTTTATCCTTCTCAACCATGCTCTCTAACTGTTCTTTTAAGAATAGACTTGCCACTCAAGGAACATCAATATGTAGAAAACTTGAGATTGGAAGATACAGTCTCTAAAGCAGTGTTTCTCAACCTTGGCAACTTTAAGATGTATGGACTTCAACTCCCAGAATTCCCCGCCAGCCCTACCGGGTGGGGGGTTTTTGGGGGGGGAGTGCCAATAACCTTAAATTTCCCCAGTTGGAAGAAACCACCGTTGGAAAAGGTTCTTTCTCCC